ACGAGACGAATGTCTTCCAAAACCACATGATAGGGCCGGCAAAGCAAATTGCTCAAATCGTGCAGCTGCTGGACAACAACTTCATCTCCAGCTGCAGGGCCCAGATCGGCTGTCTTGTCGAGGTGCATTCTGCGCTGTTTGGTGGCGGCAGTGAGACCACCATGGAAGTAGCATCGAGTCTGTGCACAGTGAACAGCACGAATTTGTATTTGTCAGCCTACACACACTAAGTCGCCGAGGCAAGACTTCAACTTGCAACGGTGAAGCAGGAGGCACAGCATGCCTCGACGAGCTACAGTCCAGTTACAGGCAGCATGTGTGTCTTGATCTTGGCTAGGAGGGGCAGTGTGTTGAAAGTTTCGTTCTCTGTTGGATGCCGGCACTGCGAGAGTGCCTCTGATGTCGGCACTGGGAGAGTGTCCATGTAATGGCGCGCAATGTGCCATTTGAACTGAGAGCATTTCTTGCTGAGGCCTGGGATCTGAGTGGCACCGGCAGCGAGCCCGGATGTCAATGCAAGAGCTCTCAGAGAGGCAGCATGAGCCAAACAGCAGATTTCCTTGGCTTATTCTTTTGTTGCAGAGCCTGTCCCAGTCCTTCCCCAACCCCAACCACTGGCATTTCCAACCAAGGCCAAACTTGCTTGGCCTCAGAACGGGCGGTGGTTTGGCAGGCGGAGCACAGCCGCAATCACGGCTGAATATATACAATTTACATGGAAGGACCTGAGCCACTTCACAAACATGTGTGAAGCATGCAGGAAACACTTGAGTGTGATTGCTTGATTGCTTGCGTCAAAACGCAGCAGCAGGATTTCAGTCTAGATGTTCTTTTTCGCTAAAGCAGTGCACCAGACTTCAAGAATCTGACATCAGAACAGGATCTTCTGTCTGTCTCCATCGTTCAGCAGCTATCTTCGGTGATTTCCACCTATGTAGAATAAGCTCGTTTGTGGATGGACTGCTGACTTACAAGTGCAGCAATGTCGTGGGAGAAGCAAGGCTGGAAGGGGGAGAACCCCTGGCAGGAGGAGAACCCCTGGCAGGCGTCTTGGCAGGAGGAGAACCCGTGGCAGAAAGAGGACCCCTGGCAGGAGACGAACTCCTGGCAAAACGACTCGTGGCAGGACGACTTGTCCTGGCAGGACGAGACGTGGAAGAAGGACTCCTCGGCCCCTTCGAAGTCTTGGAAAGACTCCGGGTCCTGGCAGTGGCAGGATGAGCAGCCGGAGTCTGACGACTGGAGCCACCAGAAGTTGCCTCGCCAGGGCGGCGCCTCAGCCTCCTCTCAAGGCAATGGCCATGGCGATGGCAGCAAGAAGGCCAAGAGCAAAAGAGGCCACGGCAGCCTGGAGGATATGAACGCCAGGAATCGACGGGAGATTCGACGTTGGCGAGAAGACAAGGACGAGCTCGAGAAGGCCCGGTACACCATCCAGCAGCAAGAAGATCTTATCGACAACCTCAGAGGCATGCTGTGGTGCGAGGAGGACAAAACAGCGGAGTTGACCCAGCGAGCCGAGTCCTTGCAGAACACCATGTTCGAAATGGCAGATACGATCCAGGAGATGAGTGGACAAGCGGATCAGCTGAATGAAGAGGCTGTGGAGTCCATGCGAAGCCGCATGCAAGCCGAGGGCAAGGTGGCACAACTCCAGCAGGAGCTGAAGAAGCAGAGGACTCTGAGCACTTTGGAGATTGGCTCGAAAGACCAGGAGTTGAAGGAAATGCAGGCAAAGCTCGACGCGCAGGATGCCGAGCAGAGCGATCGTCTCGGCAGCTTGCACACTGACTTCAAGAGGTACCAGGCCGGCCGGCCCACGTGCTACGAGAAGCTGTATTATAAGATCTAGATTGTAGGCAGGCGTTCTACAGTTCCGTTTCAACACGTTGCGCCAGGAGCTTACCAAAAAATCCATTGCGGAGTCGAAAGAAGAGGAGGCCGCTGTCACTTCTTTCGATTTAAGATGGCAGCCTCCTGACAACTGATCGTGACAGGAGAATCTGAGAATGAAGTTGCGGCGGATCGAGAAAGAGAAGGCAACGAGACCATGCGAGAGCATTTGAGGAGCAGGAAGACATTAATTGTGTCCGTCCAGGCAAGGTACGTGGAGCTCGCCAGCCAGTACGAGGAGCATTGGGCAGACAAGGCCTGAAGCCATAAGTGAGTTTAATTTTCGATGCGCAAAGACGCCCGGATTTGTCCTCACAGGAGCGGAGACAGAAGCCACAGCTACGAAGTCCCACGCCGACTCCGACAGAGGTGGCGGAGGATAGTGACTGAGGTCCGCTTGCACGAACATAGCAGGGGCAATGGACGAAGTAGCAGTGAACTTATCTTCGAAGCGATGTGTCCATCCAGGCCCTACATGGAGCTCGTCGAGGAGTACGAGCGAGGCCCCCCAACGCCAAGGGTTTTTTTTTCGCACAGGGCATGCGAGCTGCCGTGACCATAGAAACCTTGTGAGATTCAGTCGCTGCAGGAGAGCCCTGGTCATTTGGCAAGGATGCGGAGGGCGGACCGGAGGACCTCCCTGCGAAAGTGGCAAAAAAGAGTTCAGAGCGGCACTGGGAGAGTGCAGAGCTGACTTCGACATTTGAGTGTTTCTGCAAGCGCGCTGCAACCTTCATCCTCGATATCCCCTAATTGAAACCCTCGTCCGGTCGCAGGTGGCTACAGATTACGGCAGACCGTCGACCTGATGGAGGTCGGACAAGGACCCGAGCAGAAAAACACTCGACATATTTCGAGCTATTCCGTTGCGAGAGAAGACATACAGTTTACAAGGTGCACTGGGAGAGTGCGCAACAAACAAGCTTGATTTCGACAGACGGGAGGGTCAGGGGGACAGGGGGGGGAGGCGAGGAGGAGGAGCAAAGAGCTGGAGTGGGAGGTGGAAGTAGGCGCGGGGAGAAAGTGTGGCAAGAGGCGAGGGGGGACGGACACGGATGTTGCTGGTAGCTTTTGGACCTTGCTGAGAAGTTTCCCTACGAAGAACATGCCTTGACAAACACAGCGAGTAGGCCGCCTGCATGTTGGGAGAGCACCTTCCTACAGGGTTGCTCGGACTGAGTTGTCTTAATTTCGCGGGGAGTGGTTTCTGACAAGTTGCCAACTGCGACAGTACAGCTTAGCACAGACGTGATGCAATTTTCATCCTGGACATGCCACCTGGCCACCCCTCATCCGATCGCAGGTGGCTACAGACTCAGAGGTGAGGACCGACGACTGGCTGATGGAGTTCGGGCAAGGCAAGGGCCAAAACAGAATAGAAGTTTATGTTTCGGGCGAAAGGTTGCGATAGATAGACGCAAATCAATGTCCATAGTGCACTGGGAGAGTGCGAAAGCATGTCCAAGCGGAAGCTCAAACATTGGGAGACTGCCGACTATAATCAAAAGCGTTGCATTGGCAGACCGCTGACTTGTTGCTTGATTGCTGGGGCTCTGGCTTGTTGCAGAATAACTTCGACAGCGCTGGTCCAAACCTCAAGCCCGTCTCAAATATAAACCATCGCCAGGAGTTTCTTAAGCCACCCTCTCGCTGCTATCGGCTTATTTCAGCACTCTCTCAGTGCGCTCGTCTGATGAGGGTTCAGTAGCACTCTCGCAGTGCCTTCGGCGGTGAAGCTGGGACAGGTCCCAGCCGGCACTCTCTCAGTGCCACTGTGGGTTTAGGGTTATTTGGGGTTTAGGGTTTCTTCTCAAGGGCACTCTCCCAGTGCTCCCAGCCGGCACTCTCTCAGTGCCACTGGGTTTATTTAGGGTTTAGGGTTTCTGAAGGGCACTCTCCCAGTGCTCCGACCAAGAACCACCCCCAACCAATAAACCGTAAAGCACCAGAAACCCTTAAACCCTGAAACCCTAAACCCCCTATAAAGCCCTATCCCCCAGTGACCTTGGGGAAGCCGTCGGTGTTTAGACAAAGCACCCCCGTCGCTCCAGGTCTGACAAGGCGCTCGCAGCTCAGTTTTTAGGCTGGGGGTGTGTGGGGGTTAAGGGATCTAAAGCTGAAAGGCCAGATGGGCCAACAACGGAAATTTCGATACCTACTGTCATACATAGAAGACTTGTGCTATCGTATACCAAAAATGAAGAAGACATACCAAACCTATCCCCTAGGGTTTTAGGGTTCCTGAGGCTTTAGGGTTCAAGGGTCCAGTGTTTAAAGTTTTTAAAGGTTTAGGATTCAAAACGTTATACCTCAAACGTAGAAGTCAATGCTTTGAGCTCGAACCCCCAACATATAACAAAACTTAGATTATTTTATGGATTTCCATACTAACGGAGATCCCATTATCTTTTCGCTTTACACGAAATTGGTAATGAATACTTGTTGCCGAAAGAGAAATGAAAGAATATACTCAACCTCAACTCGAACCCTGCACACGTCGTGTGGTATGGTGTTGATTTTTTTGATGTCATGCTTCAACAAATTTCAAATGAGTCATCGACACGTGGATTTTGCCACCCTGCAAATATTTGTATTGGATGCTGGCTGCCGGATGACATTCTTGAACTGAAACAATCAAAAATGAGTGTTTGCCATCTCAAACAAAGTTGCAATACACCTCAGAAACAACAAGGGGCAAGTCATTTTATTTCGCTATAGCCATGGTTGTTTCCCCCCGTCCCGATCATCATTGAAGTCGTTTTGCTCCAACAACACATGCACACACCAGGCTTCCACCCAAAAACTGTTTCCACCCTAACTGTGGGTCGGCAAGAAGTGCTGCCCAGAATCGCAAACTCCGGCAGGGAGTCTGGCACGCCCTACAGAGTGCTCTTGATACTATCTCTGCCCGCAATAAGATAGTCTTGGGGGGAGACTTCAACTCCACCCTTCACCAGGCTCACCCCAATGTAGGACCTTCCGTCCCTAATCCCGACACCCACGACCATCACGATGCCACCCTCCAGCAAATCCTGCAGGACTATGAACTTTGTGCGGTGAACACATGGCACTCGCGCCCACATCACACCTTCTTTAATACCTCTACTATGAGCCAAATAGACTACCTTATAGTACGCAGTGCAGATGCCGGAGCCACGGCAAAACTCTCATCCCCAGTCAATGCATTCCCTGTGACGGGTGACCGCCTCTCCAACCACATTCCGATTCAGGCATCTCTGCAGCTTCGGCCCTTTCGGCACTTGCCGAAGGACCAGAAGGCTCCGCCTGCATTTGACCGGAACGCACTACAAGCAGCCATAGCAGCCGATGACCCGCAGGCCCAGCTGCTGCAGCAGACGGTGTCTGCTCGCGTCAGTGCACTGGAGGTGCCTGCCTCCCTTCATCTCACGCACCAAGCCATCAATGACATACTGCTGCAGGAAACCAGCAGACTCTTCCCGGTGCAAGCCCGGGTGGACCACAGGGTCAGTGCGAACCCCGGCTTCCGAGCTGGTGCCACTCACACATGGGCACTGTACCGTGAGCTCAAACGGCCAGGTGTTGTTACTTTGGCCAACGTCTGGCAAAGGTGGCGAGCTTGGTCCAACTTCAATCGGGCATCCAAGGAGCTTAGACAACAGAGTCGACAGCTCAAGGTGGCATTCCACCAAGACCAGCTGCAGCAGGCTGAGAAAGCAGCTGCCTCAGGAAACCTGCGGGAACTCTTTCAGATTACCAAAAGACTCGGCCCCAAAAAGGCCAGAGTGGCCTCACGTCTTAAAGACGAGAATGGCAATATCATGACTGAGAAGGCGGAACTTGCAGCAGTGCTCAAGTACGGTCAAGCCACTTTTGCCCAGCTACCGGACAGCCGACCTCAGCTACCCCTGCTAGAGGATCTGACTTTCACTCTGGACGAAGTATGGTACGAGCTCTTCCACCTACATCCTCGTAAGGCGGTCCCTAGCCACTGTGCTCCAAGCATTGTGTGGAAATACTGTGCGCAGGCACTACACCAGCCTCTGACCAAGGCGCTGAATCAGCATTTCCAGGCGGGCTCTACCGCACGGCTGGAGGGGGATATGAAGGACACACACGTAGTGTGGCTGCCCAAGCCCAGTAAGCCACCCACCTCAGTAGATGCCCTCCGCCCAATAGGGTTAATGCCGCCTTTTCCCAAACTAGTGGCCGGACTCCTGGCAGCCCGCATCCAATACCACATAGCACCACTCCTTGACCATCTCCCTCAATTCGCTTATAGCCCAGGCCGTAGCTGCGTCGACGCAATCCGCCGCGTCCATCAACACTTTGAAGAGGTCGAGCAAATAATTCAGCAAAACCAAAGCAACCGCTTCACCATGCGACAGGGCTTCACTCCATCACGATGTGCAGGAGGCGCCTGCCTCAGCTTAGACCTTTCGAAGGCATTCGACTTTGTGGACCGTGATTGCCTCACTGACTCGCTCCTTGCACAGGGCATTCCTCCCAACATCGTAGCTGCAATTCAGCAGCTCCACAAGCAGGCCAGGTACCACTACAACATTCGATCTCAAACCGGAAGCACTGTCACCACAAATGGCATCAAGCAAGGCTGTCGGGTGGCCCCGGTGCTATGGCTGTGCTACAGCATCACAGTTCTCCAAGCGCTCGCCAGGCAGAAGGGACTTCAATGGCTGCATAGGGTTATTACCTTATTTGCAGACGACTGGTGTGGAACATGGACCATTCGAAACCGCCATGACTTCACCAGCACCTTAAGCGACCTTGAACTCCTGCTAGAAGTTCTCACTATCTTTAAGCTGAAGGTGAATTACCAGAAAACCGCCCTGCTCCTCACCCTACAGGGCAAAGATGCAGAAGATATCCTAGCCCGACACACGATCACCAAAGAGGGCAAAACTTATCTCAAACTCACTGTCCTTGGCGCAGAGCAACACCTTCACATCCGAGACTCCCACGTCTACCTAGGCACGATCATCACTTACAACCACAGACTGGACCTCAATATATCCCATCGTATTGAGTCGGCCCAAACCAAGTACCAACTCATAAGGCGAATCCTCAACGGCAAAGGGCCACTCTCCACTCGACATAAGCTTCGACTTTGGAATGCCTGTATATCCCCCAGCTTAAGCTATGCCATTGAAGCCGTAGGCTGGACCCCATCTGGGGTGAAGAGACTTCTCGTCCTTGCTACACGCCACATTCGAGCCATTCTGAAGCAGCCGGCGCACATCACCCACATTAGCAATGCAGACATATGGTCCACTGCCCAGCTTAAACAGCCCACCCAGGTCATTCTTGAAAAACTTACGAATCTTATTAATCTTCGGAACCCAGCACATCGTGCTACTGGTGCAGACATAGTGACGAACGAAGCTGCACACGCCAGCCTCACTGCACTTCAGGCAGCTATGCAATCCGCCAACGACAGTGCTACATCACAGGCCGCAGCGGACGAGTCTGCTGAAGCTGTTACATGCCCGCACTGCCAAGCCCAAGTGATGAATCAGCATGCCTTATCCATCCACATCTCTCTCCACCATCAGGATGCGGATAAGCCAGCCGCCGCTGAGTACCGCTTTGATCCAGTGCGACACTCAATAGCAGGCATGCCTACATGCCGATTGTGCCTTCGCAACTTTACGAAGTGGCAGCAATTAAAACTCCACATCACCCGAAAATCCTGCCCTACCCTTGGTGGTTTGAGCCATAAGCTAAGCCCCCCTGCGCCCAACAATGCCTCCCTCCGGCTTCTTCCTAGCGCGCAGCGACAGCCGCCTACAGAGGCGACTCCCGAGTATGCTGGGCCAGAGTCCGAACCAAAAAGACCGCTACATCTTCCGGACGAATTGCCCTTCGCACTTAGAGCATGTTTCTTTGAGGACCTGCCCAGATGGGAGAAACACCTATCATGCTCCGCTACCAAAGCTCTGCTCAGTGAACATTGTGTTCTATGTCACATGTGGATTGCAGACCCTAAACACATTCGACAACATTACAACAAGGTTCACCATGCCACACACCCCGACATACTGCCGGCTGCACTTGCACTTAGCAAAAGTTTCAAGAGCCACCTCACGCGGGGTAGATCGTGTCGGTGGTGCCAGAGCAAAGTTGGAGCCCCGGGGCGTCATTCAGTCCAATGTGTGGTCCTAAATCAATTGGCGATCGCGAAAGAATTCTGCGAACAAGGTCTGCATCTCCCACTTCTTGATCGGAATGACATACGCGGATCTGGAGGCGAGCATCTTCGCCCACTGCATGCCCTCTGGGGCAGCACAGGCCAGCGCGAGCGTGGGGAACGGGACCGACCCACAGCAAACGACGACACGGGCGACACAGCCCAGCAAGCGTCCGAGAGGACCGGGATGGGGTCCACCACAGAGGCCATCGCGGACACCGTGGCAGCCACCAATGTCACATCAGCCAGTGCCTCAGCTACCACCGCCGTATCCCATGGCGGACCAACAGCTCGACATCATCTCCAAGCTAGTGTTGAAACACGAAGAAGCTCTCCACAGCATTCGCAAAGACACATCATATGTGATGTTCTTCCGCCAAGACGAGAAGAGCCTGGTGCCGAATCTCATGGAAGTGGCTCGCCAGTGGAGGGAGAAAGCCACATCAGCTACGCCGGACCCTGCCTTGCAGTCTCCTCTCAGAACGGTCTTGATCAACTGTTTGTTGAAGGAACTCCTTCAGCGCACTCAGAGGGTGGTTGCTACAGAGGAGGGACGAGCGAACCTGAAGGAAATGGGCTGGATCGACTCCCAGGGCCACTGGACCTACCTCAAATGGAGCCCTCAGCAGAGACGGCTGGTGCTGAACGAGGCAAGGACCCCTGTCACGCACGACGCCATGATCAAGACCATAACGGAACTCCAGGCCAGCATGACGGGCGAGATTATCCACCGCTTCAAATCGAAACAACCCATGTGGTCGATCGAGGAAGAAGGAAGCTCCCAAGCAGTTTTCGACTTGGAGATCTCGCTACGCAGTGCCACAGCCGACGAGGCTCACATGAACTTCGGAGTGCTCATGGGGAATGCAGTCACCAACCTGGTGGGGATGTCCATGAAGAAAGACGACAGACCAAGGCAGCCACAGGCACAGCAGCTAGCACAGCTGGTTTACCCAGGCCGATCACAAAGCATCACCCGATTACCCCTCACATCCCCCACCCTAAGGGCACCATACATAACTTCTTCTCCGCGGCTCGTAAACCACACCCTCCGCCCCCTAACACCCCAGGCCGTAGCCGTAGTCCGCCCCAACATCCCGTGTCGAATCACCGATTCACTTTATATAACCCCCATAATCACTGCTACCTTAACTCCTTCGTTTACTGCATAGCGGTATTGGAACAGCACCTGCAAAGGCACATCCTACCCAGAGTCTTCCGGACCGTCACGCCGGCGCCGCTAAAAGCCATGGCAGAGCTTGGCTTCTTCTTGATGGGGTGGCGAAGGCCACATTTGCAGCACGATGTTGTCGAACTTGCGGACTTCTTAATACCTAGACTCATGCCAGACACCGTGCAACATCGATGGGAAGCGAGACAATTAATGTCAGGAGAGCTCTACAGACCGGAAACAGGCACGCTCAGTTCTTGCCTGTCCCTCAGTAGCATCGAACCCAAAAGTCCGTGTGTGCAGGACTTAATCCGTGATTGGCACATCAAACAATCAGCCGCACATGCAATGATTGACCCTCCTCCTTGGCTGTTCATACAGCTCCCGAGAACACAATTGCGAGAGGGTCAACCATGCAAACGCCACGAGGCCTACATCATCCCGATCGAGCTGCTCCTACCATGTTTTGTGGGGCCAGAAACCACGGATGTCAGGTGGGACTCGTACGATGTTCGAGCTCTCGTCACGCATCATGGTGAGCATCTCGAAACAGGTCACTACAGGACCTTGATTCGTGAGGGGAACACATACTGGGTTCAGGACGACGCCCGCCGGGCTGCAAAAGCTTCAGACTTGCAGCTTGACGAAGCTTCGTCCTGCATGTATCTTTTGCTCTTGATAAGGCAATCAACTGCAGATGCCGTAGCTGACCCACGCAGCTCAAGCACAGTAGCTCAGAGACGAAATCAAGATGGCGAATCTGCACAGCACCAGCCGGAATATGACCTGGTGGATCGAGCATCGCCTCTTCGACCTGCAACTACAACTGAGGACTCAGGAAGCGCAAATCGAGCTGCTGAAAGCTCGCATCGTGAAGATAGAAATGAGCCGGGGAGAGCAAGCGCAGCGAGCACCACTGCTAAACCCCGACGAAGTGAGCAACTCCTGCCCTCACACTCCAGCAGGCTTTCTCCACTCACTTGATGAGTGAAGTTCTACCTAACTTTCGTCCTAGAGCCACAGTTTTGACCAGGTTACAATCAGCTGACCTGTGTATGATTTAGTAGTCAAGGCGCCTCGGCGCATGTTCCCCTGCCCATAAGGGCACACGTGCCATGTCACCACAGAGTGACCGAGAGCTTAGCTCTTGCCGGCGCGCGCTAGCTCGGATCTCGTCCCTTGCTGCGGTGGAAGAAGAAGATGCGGATGATGAAGATGCAGCGATACTAGTCACAGGAAAAATACGTCCCCAGCAGCTGCAGGCCATGTTTGCAAGGTCGAAACTCAACCGGTGATTAAACAGTAGTTTTCTTTACATCTCCACCGTTCTGACATAAATTCCGTTCCCTTGGTTAGTTGCATCTCGCAGTGTCTCCTTGGCTCATTGCTAGCACTCTAGTACTCACCATACAGCCGTCTGCAAGTGCTCTTCTCGCTGAGTGCTCTGTAGAAGCAGCGCAAGATGCAGTCATGGTTATCGCAACGTTATCATGGTTGTGTTACCAGTGGAAGCAATCCTCGCAGAAGCCACAGTATCGGAACCAGCCTCATCTCTGCCGCTATTTCTACGAATAACATTGCTGATCCGCTATCACAGCTGGACTCAACGAACGATGACACGCCTTACCTCCAAGGTAGATTGCCACTGAAACCCCTACAACGATTTCATGGAAGACTTCTAAAGGAGACAATGCCTGAACATCATGATCGCAAACCCGCACACGACCTTCGGGTTTAGTGTCTTGGGGTTTGTGGCTTCAGGCGGTTCTGGCTTCTCTTTGCGCTCGAGTGGCTCTCAAGCTGTCTGAAAACATGGAAGCAGCACAGTGAAACTGCAATGATGGATCTTCCGTTCGGAACCCTAACCTCCAAGTTTTAGCATCTGCTTGTCTTTGTCTGCACTCGGGGCTTTGCCGTGGGACAGCCCGGCGCCACATCGCTGACATGTCATCCAGGCTCCAATACAGAGTTTGGCCTACCATCAGCCCAGTCGTCTGCTGTATTCCGGCTTACAGGTTGGAATCCTCTATATGTATGTGTATGTATATATATATATATGTACACCATATGTACGTAGTTACATAAAGATGCATACACATAGATTGTATATACATGTATACATATATAGAGATGCATACACATACATGCATATATACTTCTGTGTATTTAGAAAAACATGTATCATATGAAATTATATGTATGAAGAGAGAGGCCGAGGGAGAGAAAGAGAGAGAGAGAGAGAGAGAGAGAGAGAGCGACAGAGCGCGAGAGAGAGAGATGGAGATAGAGAGGTATCCAAATGTAAGTCGTTCGCACCAGAATGTGCGTCTGTTGTGACCCCAGTTGCGGCCTGGCTTGAACGGGGCAGTCGGCGCATCCCGGCTGCAATGTAAAAGGCTTGGAGACCACTAGAACTAGCGTAGGGGCCTGAGTAGCTAATTTACTGATGCATCGGGGGGGAATTTTATCATATTTGGATTATGTCGGGGTTATATGATGAGGTTCTGAGGCGAGACATCAGTAATCAGAATCATTCAGACCTCTTTGTTTATTCCTCCTGAAGCTGCGAGCCTGCCTGCGCATCCGCACACCTTCGACCTTTTCGTGTTCGAGCGGCTTCTGTGCTTTCCCACAGTGGTACCAAAAACGATGTATATAGCTATACCATCACTACTGCTACACCCGCGACTATAACTATAGTGAGAACTCCCTATATGCGCATATATGCATGTATGTATGTGTATGTGTATGTGTATGTGTATGTGTATGTGTATGTGTATGTGTATGTGTATGTGTATGTGTGGATATATATATATATATCTGTGTGTGTAGCTATATGCATATATAGGTATACAGAGAAAAAAGATATGTATATATATATATATATATATATATATACCTATGTGTGTATATATATATGTTGTATTATATATGTATGCATGTGCATGCATATGTGCTTGTATATGTACATGTTTAAGTGTTTGCATATGTACGGAATGCCACTACTCCACAGCTTCCGACACATGGCGAGAACAAACATGGGTGGTTGTCAAAATTAGGGTCCCTTTGTGGGTCCTTATTATGATACGGCACCTATTATTTAGAGCACCCAAAAGTAGGACCATAATTTTGACAACTATCCATATCCTAGTAATTATATACCTAAAACCCTAAACCCTAAACCCCAAAAAGGGACCATAATTTTGACCACCACCCACACGGGTCTCCATCGGCAGCTTTTCCGTGCGGAAGCGGGACGTAGACTTGCACGAACGCGGCCCAATAGCCATCGAGGCGAGGTTGCATATTCAACTGGGTTTAGAGTTTAGGGTGTAGGTTTTAGGGTTTAGGGTGCAGGTTTTGGGGTTGAGGGTGTAGGTTTTGGGGTTTAGGGTTTTAGGGTTTAGGGTCTAGGGTTTCAGGTTTTAGGGTGTAGGTTTTGGGGTTTAAGGTTGGGGTGTTCGCGGAGAATCCTCACACGAACCTGACCGGCACCAGACTTCCTGAACAGATTAACAACAATCCCAGCCTCATTCCTCAAGCCGTCCTACAAATAAACGACACCGACCACAAGGCCCCCTCCACCATGAAGCTGTCGCAAAGAAGAACACTCGACACCAGTCAAGGTGTATCAAGAGATGTAGCTGGATCATCTCAAAGACACCGGCGTTTTACAAAACCAGTGACACGTTAATCATGACACCCTTGAATTCTACGCCTAATGACTGCCTGTAGCTATAATTGCTTTGCAGCTTAGAGCAGATTCAACACTGAATCCTGTGATACCATGTCATGCTATCGTGCCTTATTGAGTCCTTGGTGTACTGCGTCACCTTCCTACACAACCCCGCGTGAAATTGTCAGGGAAGCATTCCACTTAAAGCGGTGCTGTCTGAAGGGAATTGGAGGTGCAAAAGTGAAACGCGTGAGGCTGCTGAGCTTGCTCGCACTTGCTGACCATAATGGCACACAGAAGTTGACATAGGGTCAAAAGGAAGCCTGCCAATGTGCTTCGGTGCCGAGTAGAATAAAACCTATCTACTTACGCTTGCTCGCTTGTGATGGTGCAGCATCTTAGCCAAGCTCCCGAAATCTGAAAGCGCGTCAGCCCAGTCGCATGGGTCAGGAATCATGCCTGCCCAGGCGCATCCGCAAAGAATGCCCTACCCGCTCAACCCCCCAAGAATACCTGACACCCTCGTAAGGTTTAGGGTTGGGGGCTTTAGGGCACTAACGAAGAATTGAATACCAGTACTACAAAATCTTAGTCGGGAATTTCGGCTACTGGAAAAGAACAAGAAGGTTCGAAATGTCACGAAACTGCGAATTCTCGGATACGAACGGTAGCGGTCATAGTAAGAAATAACTTTCTAAGAAGCAAAAGAATAACAAGTATTGGCAATCGCATAAGCAGTGGCGGTGGCAGTGGCAGTAGCTGTTGCTGGTGTTGTTGCTGTAATTGTTGTAGTTGTTGTGGTTACAATTGGTTTTGTTGTTGTTGTTGTTGTTGCTGTTGTTGTTGTCGCTGGCGACGTCGTCGTCGTTGTTGTTGGTGGTGGTGGTAGGAGGAGGACGAGGAGGAGGAGGAGGAGGAGGAGGAGCTCCAGTTGAATGGCTATGATTTTGGCGATGACAGTACTAATAGACGCCGGGCGGCAAGGTCAGCAGCTCCATTTTGCCGAAGTACTCGAGGCCAGCGTCAAATTGTATTCGATGCACGGGTGATCTCAGTCGGTGGGTATGACGCATGCCAAACCAGAGGATTGAACTGATGCCCAAAGGGTCCAAGTAATGGCATGGTGTACACTTTTGGGGCCCAAATACGTACTAAGTAACTACCATAATGGTACTTGGACCCTTTGGGATGGTTCTGATCAAACTCCGGCTTTGTGAAAGCATCCCCCAG